TGTCGCGAATTTCTCAAATTTCTCTCCGAAAGCGATTACGACCTCCCCTCTCCCAACAACAAGCAAATGCCCCCCTTATATATGGAACAAGAAAAATCAACAATAAAAAATTTCTCAGACCAAACACGACCTCCTCCCCCCCCCCTTCCTCAACTGCCAAATACGACTCCTACCGATGAACCCCTAACGATGATGTGCCCTGGATCAACTAGCAGAAATCAGTAATTCTGCGGCGCCGTCTAGGGATATACGGGTGGGGGGGGACAAAAAAAAGTCACTTTTCTTCCTTGACCTTCGAGGCGTTATAAGTTACACTTTATTAAATTCTGATCGGACAATTCTACCACCATAATCAACAGCATATTAAATACTATCATGACACTCCGCCACAGCCTTCTGGAGGAGCGCCGTCGAGAGATTCTGCCACGCAACCGTGATTCGGTACCTGGCTTTCAGATCCACCCGAACTCGGTGATTGAGAGGGTTCAGGTCAGGGGACATACTTGAATATTCCCGTTTTTCCAACGCCCTTCGATTCCATGTGGCACCCACCTGTAGCAGTACAAAGTTTCCAAGAAGGTACGGGCGACGACATGTGGGGAGGATATTCTTCTCGAGTTGCTCGATGTAACCGCCAGCGCTCACCTTCAGTCCGGGTCCACGAAGAAAATATCGGTCTTTCCATTCCAGTTCCGGTCCATACCATCAACCCGCGCCTTGGCGACTGCGGTGAAGATGATGTCCTAGACCGTAGCGACGTTGTCGGAGCTGCTCGATGTTGGAGGTCTTCCAGATCGAGAGTACTGGTCTCCAGGTAGCTATCCATGGGTGACTCCATACTAGAAGTTTCGCAGCTGTTTGGAGGTGACATGAATTCCAAAGGTCTTCTCCAGTCAGGCTGCGACTGGAGATGACTTCATATTTTGGTGTACATGAAGGTGATGGGCGAGAGCCAGCTCCTGCTTATCGAGGAACATCTTGGGTATCTTCGCCCTGGTACTCGTATCCACGTCCTCTGTCTGGGCTGCGAAAACTTTGCTGATATGTGACTCGGTCGAAGTGACTTTTTTTTGCCCCCCCCCTGTATAGGGTGCGTGAAACAGAAAAAATCAGCGACCAAAAAAACTTCTCTTTACAAAACACGACTCATTTTTTTCAGGTGCCAAATACGACCTACATGTGGTGAGCCCTGATTTAAGAAGGATAGCGCTTTCATCAGTGGCGACTAATAGGAATTACAGGTGGATAGGGCGACTTATCCGCGACTCAAAAATGACAAATCAATAATCGATTACCGGTGCGAATGAAAAAGTGCTTGAAATTACCGAACAACGAATCGGTTGACGGTAAACAATTTTTTGAAATCTCTCAGTGGACCCTGGATCAAATTAACAACGAATCAGTTGGAAGTGAAAAAAGTCGATCTTCGATCGCTTCAGTAACGAACCTCAAGAACCCATAGTCTGGGGCACCTGCTCAAAACCTATCACCAAGAAAACCTGAAAAAATATTCAGGAACGGAAATCACGGCGCTGGGAAATCATTTCCCTCAATGCGGCTCCCGAATCTTTTTTTTTTCAAGAAAAACGTTCAGCAGAGTAGGCTAGGGGTTAGCTGGGAAACAGGAAAATTACAGGTATAAAATCAAACTACGGAAGGAGGGAAAGCATGGGGAAAAGACCCCTATCGGACTCCACGTTTTTATGGCTCTAAATGTGAACATAATGTCCCTTTGAGTGCTTCTGGATCAAGTGCGTGCACGGTGATATGTTCAGCAGTAGTCCTTTTTGCCACCACCAGCTCTAATTGCGTCCTCATTAGTCTCTACCCACAGTATTTGGAGAACATATAAAAATAATTGCCTACATATTTTTGGGCGAGCATTGGCTAGCTTTTCCTCTTCCACTTTGCCCTCTGCCATTAATCGCCCGTATTATAGCCAGGGCACATCCTGCAGTCGGGGGAAATTTTCGCAAAACGTGCCTTCCCCCTGAACTTTTCCCCCTTCAGTGCGAACCCCTTACTTTCCCATCCTACTTTCCATCTTCTTAGCCAGCGCGTAGCCAAAAAGGGAAGAACCGAGAGCTGAGTGTGCAAGCAAAAAACATCCACTCCCTTCCACGAACAAGTACGACTCTCTGCTGGAGATTCCCAGCGTACGACGTGCCTTGATTAGACCCCATTTATACATGGACATGTATAACATATATTTATATATGGGCTGCGCATGGGGGTATCGTGTATCGTGTGAGTCATGAGCGAGTAAGTTGATTACGGCGCGGAGACATCGTCTCATTTGAGTCCGCCCTTGCGCAGCATCTTCTTCGTCGTCGTGGCTCAGCCGCTTGGCTTGGCGGAAGAGCCCACCAAGAGGACATGCTGAGCCGAGCCAAGCCGATTCGAGTCGACTAAATCAAGTGAAAGGCACGCGGAAATCAAGCCTTGCAAGACTTGCCCTCTCTCAATTTCTTCGCCAACACACTTATCGCTCAACTCTATTGCGAGACATTTTCTAGTCAAACTGCTGGAAGTGGAGGGCAATAGGACGGATGACTGGGTAAAGGAGACAACGTTTAAGTTTAAAAAAAACAGGCTGGATACCGTACCCCCTCCACCCCCAAAATCGCGCGTGAAATTAAAGGTGTCGGGCCTCACAAGAGGGCACATTGCATAGGGGGGAAGCTCCAGGGTGAGGCCAGGAAGCAAGGGCGACTCTAATTCCGCTCCCCATCTGCCAAGACGAAACTGAGTGGTAACATGTGCACTCGGCAGTCCGACGCTTCAATTGTTCGCAAAGTTAGGGATACTGTAACCCGACCGTTTTCTCAAGTATATAATTAATTCAATGTAAAGGACGATAACGATGAAGAGAGAGGAATGCGCGCCCGGAGGAAGTGAGCGGAAAGAGCACAGAACAAAATAACACATGCAATCATCAGTCAGTCCACAGCAATTATATTAGGACTGAGGCGGCTGCACCCAGCCCGCGGGCCGAGTCCGTCGAGTCACCCATCTGGCCTCCTCTCCTCCTCAGTTTCTTCGACTAGATATAACCGAGCAAGGATAGAAAACAATCCGACAGTTAGGACCATATCTGACCAGCCCGCCCTAACCGTACATACCGTTCCCCCAGTTTAATCACCCCTCCCCCCATAGAGAGCGATTATTGTAGGAGATCAACTTAATTAAGATTTTCGGCGCTGTATGCTATTAGGGGTGGCAGTCTGCATTTGCTCACCGCAATAAAAACTCAGAGTTTTTAAGTGAGAACGGGCTAAGCGGGCTAAGGGGGATGAGGGGGGGGGGGGGGAAGGTGACGAACCAATGAGGAGGGGAGACTAAACCACTTCTTACTTGCAGAAAATTGGAATGTGCGTGGCGGCTCAGTCATCTCTCTTCCCTTTACAAGTTGCAGATCACGCGAGCTCGGATGACTGCTTTCGTCCACACTGCTGATCGGGTTTTTAGACATCACGGCTTGGGAGAATCGTTTTGGGAGAAATTGTTCTCCGTCTCATCACCACGATCACCACGATCTTCCCTGCCTGGGTAGGTTTATCAGCAGTCGTCTGTTGGCTGGCCTTAGGGGGGAGGGGTGTTCTAAATTCTGCGCACATAAGGCAAACAATGTTTCTTACTGAAGCGATCGATTATCGACTTTTTCGCTTTCTGATGCGAAAGTGCAGACTGCCGCCCCCGAGACTAACCGCGCCGCGATTTTTGTTCTGGGGAGGACAGCAAACCCTAGAATGGATCTGCTATATGGGCGTGCCCATTGAACTAAAAACTGTGTTTCCAACAGGCAAATCGGCCAAAGAGAGTCATTCGCGTCTAAAAAACTCTTTGTGCAAAACTGGGATTACGGTAGCGTCAAATCTTCTTCTACACAAAAGAAATAGATTCGCTCATCCCCGAGCTTCTAGCATCTTTGTAGAATTAGGATCATCTATGTTAGTTTTGCACAAGGGGCCCTTTCAATGCCCCTCCTAAGCTGACTCGCGCCCGTTCAAAAAGACAATTGACAAGAGGTTCGAAGAAAAACAAAAACAATCAGTTTTGCAGAACTGCCTGCTAAGCAAAAAAATTAAAAAGAATCAGGTAAAATAGTAAAGTAGAAATTCTGACCAGACCCTTGCCACCCCTAGGCGACATCATTCAACTGGCCAGTGGGCGTGGCTTCTCCGGACGTAAAAAGGGATAACGCGTGTAAATATAAATAATAACTCTATGGCTTGGAAGTCCATCTATTCAGTCAGATTAAGAGGACCGCAATCGATAACTTGATGACTGATCGGGCTGGGGGGGGAGGGGGGAGGGAGCAAAAAAGAACAGAAAAGCTACGACTCAAAGATTATCACCAAACTGTCGTACAGAATCAAGCCAAAACGAGAAAAAGAAAAAAGAAAAGGAGAGCAGAATGTCGCAAATGTGAAAGAAAATGCGAAAAATCGGGGGCATGGGCGAAAAAATTGAATAAAAAACCAAGACGAGAAAGCAAAAAAAAACTCACAGAGCAGGAGCTATGTAACTTGTGGTGACATTGTGCCTTCAGCACATGATTGAAGTGTGGCAATCCACGACAGCATGTCAGCTTCACTGAAACACAAGAAAAATGATCGATAAAATCAAATCAAAAGCAAATCGGTAAAAGAGAACCAATCAATGATGAGCCAATCGGTTAAATTCCATAATTTTCCCATTTTATACATGCCCACTTGGGAATGAGTCATACGCGTGCAATCTGATAATGCCGCACAAAGCATAAAATTTGCTTTGATGACTAATCAATGAATAAATAAGTGTAGAAAACCAGTAATTCCAATGAAAGACCACAAATAAGTGGGACCTAACACAAATGATTGTAAGCTACGTGTTCATACGCTAGGCCGAAGATTACCGTCCTCGGAAGCTCCTGGGTCGACTCCTTAGGCCACACCCCTAGCGCGACGGAGGGGAGGGGGTGTGTCCTGAAGCATCCCACCAATGACGTCAGACTGGAAGCTCCACCCCCTAGTCAAGGCGCACATTGCCTCACCACCCCCTAGTCAAGGCGCACACTGCCTGATATGCGCCTCGTTCAGGGCAGGTCATGTCGTTGAGGAAATTTCGCGAAATGCTACCCCCCCCCTTACCACGTTAGTCCTGTGGTACAACCCCCTTACTTACTGTCTTCCTGAATTTCCCCAACGACCTACTATTTTCCCATAAAAATTGTCGTCGAGCGGAATGGGGGAGGGGTGGGCGCACTAGGAGGAGGAAAAGCAGGAAAAGCCGTGAAAACCAGCAACGGGGGAGGGGGAAATAAGACCCTCCTCCGTCCAGCGACCAATACGGCCCCTCCCCTCGTTGGGATCCCCAACGTACGACGTGCCCTGGCCCCGTCTGGCCACAACTCTCAGCGAAATGGAAGGATGCAGCCTAACGACGAGCTAGTCGTTAGAGGACCCATTCATTAGCCTACAGGGTCAATCGCGTCGGATCGGGGTACAACGTTGCAATGTGTAGAATGGCGCTGCCAATGGGACTATCAGGGAGAGCCTAGGTAGGACCTCTTTCAGGGCCTATGGCTACACCCCATACATTCACCGCCTATCCCAAGTTCTCCGAACCTTTGCGATCTAGCGGGGAAAATATATAGGGCGCATGAAACAGGAAAAACTGTAGGGGAATTTCTTTCAGTACCGAATACAAGTTCTTCCAATACCCAGACAAGGAACTCCCTGCGCCTGTCCTTCCTCCTCCCCCCTCCCCCCGACGGGCTTCGTCCAAGATTGATGATCTTTTCGGCCGGGAGCCCCTTATCTGCAGTATTGCAAGAAATTAGTGATTGCCCAATCACCCAGACAACATGCTCATGTCCTTTTAGAGCGGAAAGACGGTCCGTTCTAAATTAATAAGGCAGGCTCTTATTTAGTGCCCAAAGGTGGACAAGATGGCCACATCGACTTGGGATCTTTTCCTCAGACGGAGGAAGGTGGAGTGTGTGGGACAATTGTCACAACAGTAGTACGTCCTCGATTTTGTTCTCCAGGATAGCGATCAGTTAGACCACAAGATTTTTTGCATAGTCCATGCATAACTTGACATATGAACGAGTCACGAAAATACCCCTAACTGTGACGTAGCGCATGAAAAAAAAAAAGCGATGTAAGCAAGGCTGGTTTTATGCTCACGCGCCGTTGTACTAGTGACAGATTCTCGACGACCAGATGACGTCATCGTACTCGTGATTCGTGGGTAGAAACACCTTGGCAAATGGGGAGCTTCGACAAGCGCCAAAAGGAAGAGTGCAGCGCCATGGGGCAGCGTATTGCGGTTGGGGAAAGTTTTGCACAATACGCTCTCACCTTGGATGTTTCTTCTTTGGTACGACCCTTCTCCTACCCCATCGGGCACACCATTGATTGTGGATTTTGCTCGAGTCGTGACTCCATCGCCTCCTCCCCTTGGTGTAGCTTGGTCAAGACTCGTTCCCCTCTTAAGTCCACCCGTGATGCGACCAAGCGGGCGGTGATTTTCCCTAGTCTTCCACAACGAGGATAAACCAACAAAAGTCATTAAACAAGCTTGAACGCCATCATTGAATATTTACGGCATACTATCTTGGGAGATCTCCAATGATGTGGGTCGTATTTAGTCGCTGGAGATGAAGGGATCACTTGGCCAAGAGAAATTTGCGATGTTGCTATCTCTACCCCTCCCTTGGGCTAACGGCGGTACTTTGAAGTGACGCATAACACTGCGTCCCAAAAGTATACAGCCACCCATAAATCTCACAATATCCCTCCCTACACGACGTTTTCAAAAAAAGCCTCTAGGTATAAAATGTGGTAATTACCAGTACCAATTTGCATGCCAACTCCGAGAACTGACTTTCCAAACATATTATTTTTTGAAAAAATTTCTCAGCTTAGTGACAATGTCCCACAAGTATCAGGCCACCGATAAGTTTTCGCGCATTCCGTTTCATTTTTTTCCGTGTAAACTTTCTCATCATCTCTACCTTTGACCTTTTCAGGTTATGGCGAGAGGCTTTCACTGTCTGACTTCGAAAAGGGGCAGATTATCGCAAAGAAGGCTCAAGGACTGTCGAATCGTCAAATCGCAAGAGAGTTGGGCCGCAGTCATTATGTTATCGATCAGTTTGTCAGGGATCCCGCAGGATATGGAGTCAGGAAGAGTTCTGGGCGTCCTCCTTTGCTGTCTGAACGAGATAAACGTCGTATCCTGAAAGAAGCGTCCAACTCCACGATGTCATGCAGGGAAATAAAGTCATCGCTGAATCTCAATGTCTCGAAAAACTGTTTGGCGTGTCTTGAAGAAGTCAGAGTTCATCATCAGAGAGAAAATGAGGAAGGCACCGTTCCTGACAGACCGCCATCGCGAAAACCGACTCGCCTTTGCTAGAAGATGCTGCCGAACCGACTGGAGCAAGGTTAGCTTTCGTGCTGCGGTGCCCCCCTGCTTGTCTTTTCAGTTTTTTTTTCTCCAGGTCGTGTTTTCCGATGAGAAGAAGTTCAACTGCGACGGCCCAGATGGAAATAGATTCTTTACTGGCACGATCTCAGGAAAGATAAGCTCAATTTTTCGAGGCGGAACTTCAGAGGGGGTGGTGTCATGGTCTGGGCTGCGATCGCATCAACGGGACGTTTGAAGCTGTGCTTCGTATCGAAGAAAATGAACTCTTCTGACTACGTAGAGGTAATGCGACGAGGTCTGTTACCTTTCTGGCGCCACAGGATAAGGCATCTAACAGTCCCTGTATTCGTGCAAGACAATGCACCAATCCATGTCAGCCGGAGCACTCAAGCGTGGTTCAGCCGTCATCAGATCACTCTTTTGCCCTGGCCAGCGAATAGCCCAGACCTAAACCCTATCGAGAATGTTTGGGGCTTCATGGTACGCAGGATATACGCGCACAATGCGCGATTCGAAAATGTCCGTGAGCTCAAGGAGGCTATCATTGATGCATGGCACCATGTCGACAAAACACTTATAGACCACCTCTATTCGAGCATGGACAACCGCATTTTCGAACTTATTCGAAAGAATGGGGCTGCAATAGATTATTGAAACGACGATTTATTAAATTTGTTGTACACTTGTTGTTTTCTGAATCGATTCGTTTAGTGGCTGTATACTTGTGGGACATTGTCATAGTGAGAAATTTTCAAAAAATAAAGAAAGTTGAAGTTGCTGTGGAAAGTCAGTTCTCGGAGTTGGCATGCAAATTGGTACTGGTAATTACCACATTTTATACCTAGAGGCTTTTTTGAAAACGTCGTGTAGGGAGGGATATTGTGAGATTTATGGGTGGCTGTATACTTTTGGGACGCAGTGTAGATAGAGAAGTTGGGGGGGGGGGGGTCGTTTATGGCAGAGTTCTCACATCCTAATGCTATGCCCTGGCGAATGATATTACCACTAACGCAGAATGGCTCTAAACAGGTGAATAAGGAAATCGCACCACTCAATAGTGGTGTATAGCGCAGTGAAGTTAACGACAAGGGAATGGGGGGGGGACGGCGGGGAGGGGGGCTTCGCAGGAATGCCCCAAAAATACCAGCAAGTCTGCAAAACATTAAAAACTAGTGAGAATCGCTGAAGAAGGAATAAGATCTTGGCCCGCAGTTCAGTATACCATCATCCTATCAGGCGTAAAATCAAATGCTTCGATTGCGTGAGCACACGCAACACCGCGCGCAAGAAGCACCGTGACCACCATGGCCCCGGCGGCGCGTGGAGGGCAAAATCGCTTCGCCTTCGATTCTCAACCTCATCCTGGTGATTCCCTAGACTTATTTTGCCTCACCCAAAGTCATAATTTCGGTGATTAGACCCGTATTCTGGCCTCCAGTCAGAGAAGTCTCACAATAGCGCGCCTGACGTGAGAGAATGGGAAATTCGTCCTCTTCGGCAAAATTTGATCACGCAGACTTCACAAATGAGTCACCTACACATAAGTACGAGGGCCAGTACAGAATCGGGTAGGTGTTGTTCGAAAATAGCTCTATAGGCTTTTTAAATAAGAAAATCGAAGATAGCAGCATTCTAGGCATTTCTGGCCGTTGGGCTACAAGTGAGAGATCACATGTTCTAACGTTGGTTAATTGTAAAACATGTTGGAACATGTCGTGCTGTCTTAATGAGAGGACGCAGAAGAGCAAACGTGACATGGCCTAGCCTTTACGGAGAGTTGCCCCCCCCCCTCAAGATAGATAGCACCTATCAACCTCTATCAGTTTTAGGGCCATTAGCTCGAATCCTGGCAGATTGCATAGGTCGTATCTGATTCATAAAAGATGGCACTCTCAGCTATGCACCAAATCTGCAACCCATCCCATCCCCCCACCCCGAATCGGAATGGGTGAAGAATGAGAGTCGGAGAAAGTAAGAACGAAATTTGGCTTATTCTATTTGCCTGTGAAGACCGATAAATGTTGTGAACCAGCCGCTTTCCCGAATGGCGCCGTAATTATCGTTCGCCACTAATGAAAGGACGCCCTTTGACGTTTACTCTAGGTAATTAGTTCGGAAATTCACAACAGGTGGCCTTCACGAACGCACCACTGAGCCGGTATTGAATGAGCGGTGAACTCTACGAGGACTACGGTAGAAATCCTACTTTCTGATGCGGGGAAGAACAGATGGGGAAGGGACAGAAGAATGATATGTGAGGTGGAAGAGGTGGGCGTAGCCAAAAGGGCAAGAGCTCAAAATGGGATTAAACTAAGTGCTTATGCAGGAAAGAACAACGTTTGATAATCCTCAAAAGGCTGGTTGGATCATAAGGATCAATCGGCATTGACAGCTGTCACTTTGACACGGACAACTATCACTTTGAGGCAACTGCCACTAGCTGACTTGGAACCTTGAATACAGTTTGTTTTCCAGCGAAGACAACAGCAGGAGGTATCACCTCCTCTAACCGATCAGAATGTACGCAGGCCGGCTTGGTGGGGAAACCAAAATGTGTTTAGCGAACCACGCACAGATCACCTTTTGAAGGTCTGTGAAATTCTGTGACAGTGTGCTTTACTTGGATCATTTCTAGCTTCACCCGACTCAACACGTACCAAAAAAGTGGCACCCAAGACTATACAATTATCAGCGATGAGACTTAGAGTCGCTTAGAGTGCAAAATGCTGCCCCTCCCCTGTAAGCACAATGCTTCGTTCTGATGAGCTCAGTTTCATGGAACTTGAAGACCTTTCCGAGCTGATCACATGGGCGGAGCCATTTGTACAATGCGAAGTTCTCGCTGATGGACCTGTCCCTTGGAGATGGCAAAGAGGGGAGCGCACCGATGAGGTCAGCGATATGGTCCTAGTGATTCCGCCCACACGTCGAAGCGGAATGTGCTTTGAGATTTTCGCTTATCAAGCGACATCAGACTGTAAGAAACGCGCTAGATCTCCACCTTCTCCTAAATTGCCCCCCCCCCGGAATTTCCTCTTCTGGCACCACCCTTTTTCTCAACCTGCCATCGACCCATTTTCCTAAAACTCTGCCTGAAATCTTGCTTTCCGTCGAGCGGGGGAGGGGAAGCAAAGACCTCTGAGCAACTATCACAAATGGTATTAGGT